TTTTAAATGTCTTTTCAGCATTGAAGCATGTTATATAGAGGATATTGAATGAGTGTAAGATTAATGCTGAATTTATTGAATGAGTCTAACAAAAGTATATGTTTTGCAATCCTATGGCGAGCATAATATTATTTTATTCAACCAGTTTAATTATTAAATATTAAACGTATAAGAATTTAATATTCTATTTATCACATAACAAAATTAAAGGCCAATTGAAGTGAAAAAAAAAACCTTTTTTTCATTGACCCGCCAATAGTACTAGCATAACGCTATCATTTAGCGCTATGTTTATATAACGAATATGACTTCATGTCAAAATATATGCATGGCCGTGCAATACTATTTTTACGTAAAAGCGACACTTAATCATCCTAATAATATCAACAGCCACCAATTCAGAAAGCGATGTTACCTACAGGCTCCTTTGTTAAAAGCGGTCTAGTAAATCACTTACCGACCGGTTAACAGGTCTGCAAATAGAAACCGACCGGTTATTGTTCTATTGTTCTCTATACAATAGAAAATATATGAAGTCGAGAAACTCGTGCATTACAGTACACAATATTCACCGTAAAAGAACGCTGAGTTGTGGGGGGAGGCGGGTAAATGACCACTTTGAATAGGAAAAAGGGTCGATATATATTTTAAAGATTAATCGAAATAAATTAGCGCATACGGCTGTAAGGACCCTCATAACATTTATTCCAGATTATTTTTGAGAAAAACGAACTGACTACTGTTCTGGCGTTGAACTTTTGTGTTTCGCCGATATTAGTGAGTATAACAACGTACATTAAGCCTTTCTTTAAAGTTTGCTTTTTGGTATACCTAACACATTTGATCATAAGATACTAGTTTTCGGTATTTATCTCCACAACTATGTCTGAATTTGCACAATCCTTCATTATTTTAACAATTCTGCATTATGGGATATATACGACGATTATATTATTGGTGCATATCGAATCAAAGTCAACTTTTGCATCTTTCTTTCCCAAAATATTACTTTCAGTGAGAGTATATTTCATCTTAAGTATAAGACCGTTTTTCTCATTTTTCTCCAGTTATTTTTACATTACAATTTGGATTTTGTATACCAGTACCAAGAATACGACTTGCGCTTCCATTCTAGACCGCGTGCTTTCATGCGGTCTTATAACGGATGATGCTAATTAAGAATACACGGAAAGAAAATTCTTCAAAACATGGATGAAATTCTAAGAACATTTAAACTCAGCCATCATAAAAAACACAACAACAACAAAACCCAACATACATAACGGTGTAACTACATGTATTACTGATATTTATTCATAGAACCCCGTCTTTTACTTTCCTTTGAAAAAAATCGTATATTTTAATTATATAAGAAATAGCATGATCATCTATTTACTATTTTTGATATTTATTATTTATAAAGATAAAGTGTTCCGTTTTTATGATTAGAAAAACATTTTTATCTTCCTCAATATTTTTTATATTATTAATATGTTATGTATTCATATATCAAAATAATGATCTTACCTTTCCCTACTCAACAAGTTCTGTTTTCATTTTCTGTGACTCAACTCAACAAGTACATTACCTGACCTTATTACATAATGAAACCCCACGAAAATCAAGAGAATATTCAAATAACACATGATTTGTGAACGAATGAATTACAAGAGCGTAGCGGATGGTATCTTTGCTTGGCTTTGGAATGCTTTCTTAAACATGATAAAGTACATAATTAATATGTTTCTTGTGAGTAATATTAAAACTGAGCTTAAAACTGATGTATGGATAGCAAAACAAAAGAGCATGTAGGTAAGATAGTTACCGTACGAGGAATAGGTCTGCGCTCTCTCGGTCTTCAAATCGCCACCCGGGTCTGTAAATACTATGCAGACCTATTCCTCGTACGGTAATTATTACTTATCTAATGTTTAGTGCTGCCCTTATGATCATTGTTAGGCCACCGCAGCAACTGCCATGCAATGGCATGTAACGATTCACTTGTGTTTTTGTTTGTGTGCGAGCGTTTGTTTAAGATGCGTACAATTGAGTTGTGAGTGGTTGCATCTGACACCTAATTGTTCACCCGAGCATTGGGAATGAAATATTTTTATTAGAATATGTATCGGAATTGGAAGTTTCTTTTATATTTAGTATATATTATAAAATTTAAGGTCACATGAATTTTAACTACACAATTATATTAAATTGAATTGGTCAATAATCGAAGGTTTGTAATACCATAAATAAATATGTAAGTATTAAAAATCATATAATTATGCTGATATAACTTACATTTATCGGTTTTTCATTATCTCCCTTGAAATAATTCCCTCTTTCTATTCACAAACAACAATTGATTGACTTTAATTTGACGGGTGTTATAGTATTATACTTATTGTTATCTATAATTTCAATCATGTGACAAGCCATTTGTTTATCTTTGGATATATCATAAACCAGAGACACGTGTCTGTTCTTAATTGTGGACATCAACCTGACTATTTCATACGTAATGTATGATAAATCTTTAGCTGTTGATGATTATGCTTTTATTCTGCTTGAAAATGAAGTTTGATTTACATTGGTACACAATAACGACTTTTATTTTCAATTGAACCAAATGTACATAACATTAGATATGGTTCAATGCTCAATATACTAGTATTTTTTTTCTTCAATATATCTACTCACGACTCTTGTAACTAAATACTTATTTATCATTTGAAGGATTACGGACCCAAATGGGCACTTTCAAGAATAACAAAGAAACATTTCTTTTTCAAATATATAATATATAAGCATGTAAATGCAGGATTTTTAACATCTTTTACCATCTACAACTCTAGGTATTTGTGTTTCAATATGGTCACCCTCAATTTCGGAAAATGGAGAAAATAAAGTGAAGACCTAAGTAACATAAAAAGGTCTAATTTTAAAAAGTATAATTTTAGACTATCCAAATATGTATTTTATAGTGTACTTCCATCAATTCTATGAAAATAATAATACAAAAACTAAAATATTTTCATATTTTTTATTTTTCAGTATGATAAATGTTTCAAAACGGTGCTCGGACAATGCATTTTTGTTTAAAAATTTAATCCAATTTCCAATTTTAACATTTAAAAAAAAATAATTTATATTCAATAAAAATAGAATAGATAATTATTATCTACATCATTTTAGGAAACAAATCACAAATTTTTAAGAGATTTTACCATGGCTATTTCATTTTATAGCTTATTGAACAAAACTGTGTCAATTTTCAAATAGTCCGAAATTGGTCGAAAATATTCATAATCTAACAAAAAATGTACATTTATAATTTCAAACTTCTTTTGAAGTAAGAACTACATAGCAAGTTACCTGATAGTTGTCAGAAACTTATCAGTTAAATTAAAAACACCTTAGAATAGATTTAATATTTGTTATTCATATTTATAATAGGTCGTTCTCAACCTCAGGAAATGGAAAAATAAAGACAAGGCCTAAGCCACAAAAAGAGGTCTTCTAATTCTCACTCAAGACAATCAAAATGAGTTGTCTTGTGTTTTATGGAGTAATACCATTAACAACATGAATACAATAATGTTAAAACTAAAATGTGTTCATATTTATTACATCTCAGTATCATGCACACTTCGATCAGTGCACGGACAATGCATTTTCCATAAAAATTAAAACCATTTTCTAATATTTTCCATTCTTAAAAAATCTGTTAAAAGTTCAATCTCACTAGAAAAAACATTGATCATCTTTACCATTTGAAGAAATTAATCAATAATTACTAGAGATTTTTACTATGGCTAATTCATTTTATAGCTTACTCAACAAAATAGAGTTAGGTTTTAATTTGTTTTTTTAAGTATTCATACCCTGAAAGAATTCTGTATCAAAGATTTTGAACTACTTTTGCAGGAAGGAAATTTAGCAAGTTCTAACAGAGTTTTCATGTACTATCATTTTTATAATGAACATGTAAAAAACAATGACACAGACTTAATCAGGAAATATAAAGAAAATGAATTTGGTTACTATTTTCCATAATGCAAAAAAAAAATAATTATCATTTGTTATCATTTATGACCAAAAGTGCTGAAAAAAAATGAAAGTTACAATTATCACTGAAAATAAAATGTAACAAAGAAAAATAGAATACAGTACCATAAAAATTACTATTTTATGATATATGACCCTTAAATTGTTGGTACATAAATATAACCAAAGCTGCTTCAAGTTATATAACAACCTTTCAAAATGTTCTACAACAAATTGATAATAATGAAGGAATATTGTTTTTATGTTCAAAAATTATATTCATTACAAATCTTCTGATAAATGATTTTACAAACAACAGTACAATAATTAACAAAATACTGTAATTACATAATCACCTCATGATCATTATTTCTTAAAATGTTCAACAAGTTTTGGTATAACACTTTCTAGGACTCTTTTAGTGTTAGTTACACGTGGCTGACCTTCAGAGTTCTTACATTTAAATGTATAATGCAACCATTTCCCTGCCCAAGATAAAAATTTTTTTTTCAAAACTATTAAAATTTAAAACCTGAACTGGAAAATTTTTTTTTCAGCTGGGGGCCTTTTAACAAAATCCACAAAACAATACCTTGAAAATTCACAGTTTTTTTTGGGCCTTTTTCTTGTGCTGGAGTAAAAAGGGTTTTTAAAGAAAACAGCCCTGGAGAAAAAGAAAATTTTTCCCATAAAGGTCTTGTCAGATATCAATGAGGGCTTTTGAGAAAGTTTTTTAAAACAAAAAACTTTTAACATAAATTTTTGGGCATTATGTGCATTAATATGATATTTTTAACTCACAAAGAAGGTCTTCGGGTTTAAAATATAAAGGGTTCTTCCCGGGAAAAGGTTTTTTTAAAAAGTTAATGTGTCCAATTTAAACCCTTGTGCACATTTAAAAATCCTATCTATTTTGTTTAGTGTTGCATAAAGCTGAAATAAGCACAGGGAAGTCAAACCTTCTACCATTGTGGGCAGTCACAATAACATTATTGTATTTATCAAGCCACTGTACAAGACGGTCCAAAGCACAATTGATGTCAACTGTATCAACAACAGTCCCGTTTACTGTCATAATGTAACCATTGACTGTTATTCCTGTCGCTTGATGGGCACCTATTGTAATTGGCATCTTGGGCTGTACATAATGCACAGAATGTTTGTCCTATGCCACTGTTGACAACCTTGGCAGCAATCTGCGTTATGTGGGGCATTTGTCAAGCACGAACTGAAAATTTAATAACTTCATATTTAAACTGAACAGGACTATTCTATTTACACATCTTATTCCTTTTTTTTCAATATACAATTCGCTCATACTTTGAAATCAAAATGAAATTAAGAGACAAAAATTATTTAACACTTATATATATATACATGTGCTAAAGAATTCTACTCACTTAGGTCTGTAGTCTCTAAATCAAGTGCAATCATTGTTATTTGGTCTGATAGAGGTGGTATGGGTTTAAAGTCACCAAGTGGAACAGCATCACTGTATTCAGGTATCCTCTCTACATCAATATCTTCCTGCTTTTCTTCAATACCTGAAATCAATATAATATTATATAATTTTTACAATTTATGATTTATAATTACATACTCAAATAACATCATGTCTATTTTTTTTTAATTTTAATAGTCTAATATGCATATGTATGTCATGAACTAAAAGTCTTTTAGTACCTGACTGATGATATGCGTCCCATCTAGTGCCTTCTTTGCATTTTTAATCCCGGGGGGTTTAAATCCTTTTTAAAAAATTTAAGAAAACGCACCCCATTTTACTGAAAATTTTGATAAAAATCTCCAAAGACAATTTGTACTGGGAATTTTTAGCATTGGGAAAAAAATTATTACCCAAAAATCCCCCCCTAGCTACCCATCAAATCCCAGGGGTATATTGCAAACCCATTTAAAATGTCCCTTAAGCACAAAATGTTTTAAATGGCCTTTTAAAACAAAAATTTATAGCCCGTTTCAAATGGAAAAAGGGGAAAAATTAGCAATTGCAAATTTTTACCAGGGCAAATAGCTTTTTTTACACAACTGGTGAATTTAAAAAACTGAGGGAATTATTAATTTTAAAATAGATTGTATGGAAAGGGTTTTTAAAAGTACATTTTTTACCTAAAAGCACTTATTAAAGTTTTATATAAAAATATGTTGAAATTGAATCATTTAATAATAAATAATATTATTCATTAAAGTTACATTAAATAAATATGTAAAAATATTTTGCCGTCGGCCTTAAAATCAAACATTCTACAGTTTCATTAACCTGTTTAATAGGTTTGTTTTTAATCTCATCAAATATTGTTCATAAATTAGGATTTTAAACGGGAAACCCCACGGTAACACTAAAGTTCGTATACGAATTTTAACATGCAAATGAAGAATATAATGAGCTCGTGTAACATCCGTTACAATACGGAAATATACCGTTAAATAAGTACTGCCACTTATAATCATGTTTGTTGATTTAATACTGATGTACGGATGATCCGAAGGCGGAGTTTCTCATGCAAACAGAAATTGTACATCCCATTTTGCCACAATGAGGTTACCTATGTTTATGCTAATAAAACTCATTTTGGTTGTTTGGACACTAAAATAAGACCTGGTGTCGGTATAAAACCCAATTTATTAATGAAATGTCGCTATTTAGTTTTTTATGAAATTTATTAAATGTAACTTTAACAGAATCAGCAAACCAGCATTAATGCTTTCCTGGAAATTGGATACCTCAAATTCACTCAGGAGCTTTTACTTTCCCATTCAAACTGAATTTCAAATACATGTATTGAGAAACAGACAGCTCAATTTTATTTGAAAAATTAAATCATTTATATTTTATATCAATATTACATTATGTACATTGTAATCTAAATCCAAGTTACATTTTATTATTAGTTTTACATTACCAGTAAACATATTAACAAACCCTTACATCCATAAATTATTTTTTAGCAAGTTGTATTAACTATGGGTCATTAGATTTAAATTTTGTACTTTTGTTTATCATTTCAGTGATTTTATTTTGCTTTAGACTGTCCTTTATTTATGTAGCTGACTATTGACTGAAAGCAGTTATTTTTCCAGCATTTTTGGGAACATGAACCATAATCAGGAATTTATTGATTAAATGAATACAAAGAATCACTGTCTGGGATGGCATCAAACATTTAAGCACCATAACAGTGAAGAAAGCCCCTGATTTTAAAGATTTTAGATTGTTTTGTAGTTATACAATATTTTTATTTTGCAACTTTCAATTTGGAATTTAATTTGTTCATGTGAAAAGACAGGCATGGTCATATTATATATATCTACAGCTTATGCAGTCTAAATAGACATGTTCAACTTGATGTTGTACAAAAACATACAGATTGGTAACAAATGTTGTGAAATTACAACTGATATAATTTATTAATACACTTCAAACTCACTGTATTTCCATACTGAAAGCATTATGAGCAGCTGTTGAAGTTGATTTAGATGCCAAACACTCGACAGCTTCTCCTGCCCTGCCTTCCATTTTTTTCAGCTTGTTATTGGACAATGTTGGTAAGATGAGGGTGGACAGCATATTGTTAACCTTTGTCTGACCTCCAATTCTGTCTATCATAGCTGAAAATGAGTGAAACTTATCATTTTTTCTATAATACATATTAACATTTCTCAAGACGTGACCCAAAACAACTAAATTCAACATAGAAAAGCTATTTGATAGGGGTCACATATTTTACAATGTACATGTAAGAATAATGTAAGCTCCTTGATTCAACCATTGGTCAACATGGCAACAATTTGTGGTTTACTAAAATGAATATGATAATAGTCAAACTTTCATCATTTAAACTTATAATTATCCACACAAGTCAGACTCATATAACATGGAACAGATATGTGGAATAGATAATTATTATATAGATCTACATGTATATATATTCCAAATATTAACACAAATAAAAAAGGTAAAGAGGGCCTAGTTGACCAAAGCAGAGTTTATACAAGGCTGATATGATTTGAGGACCTAGTTAATTTAGGTCCAAGCTGACCTGATTGAGCACTTTACAATACACCCCGACACAGTTTCTGCCTGCAAAAGATGCAAGCTATCTAGGTTAATACATTTTCTCCTTTATATAATAATAAAATAAACATTGAACATTTGATAAAATTGACTTTAAATGCATAAAATGTTCTTATAAGACAACTATGTTTATGATCACATGAAACAAAATATGTGTAAGCTTTATACCTGTACCAAGCTTGGTATTTACTGCAAAACAAGGCATGCCTGATTTTCCTGATTTTCCCTGGCCTGTGCCTGTGGGTTTTCCCATACGGAACAAAGTTAATAAAATCGCAATTTAAATTTTCGCACTGCACATACAGATATCCACCAAGTCCCTTCTTAATTTCCTTTTGTACACTGTATAACGTCAGTGGGACCGGTCCCAACCTGCACGATTTGCAAAACTTCAAATAAAATTTTTCAACAAGAACACCTAGTTCAATGATTCGCCGCCCAATTTTCAACTGTTGCGTAAGATTCTTGTCACTAAACACTTCAGCAGAATTACAACTTTGCACAAATTGTCCGTTACATAATTATGTTTAATTAAAATCCTTTCAAACTTCTTAATTTTAACGTTATTTGTTGTTTGACGTACCGGCCACGATAGTTTCGCAAGCGAGCGGCCATATTGCTTCCTGTGAAAACTGACGTCACAGTCGCTAAAAATAGGTTATACGATAAGTGGCGACAAAAGGCGAGGGTAGCTTCGGGCCTTCTATGACGTTTCACGATTTTACCCGATATTTACCGATTTATTAGTGTCCGTAATCCTTATGGATGAAACAATTACCTGTTTTGGTATATTCAAATGAGCGTGGTACTGTACACATTATTTGTTGAAACACAAAATGGTAAATAATGTAGGTGATGATTTATATTTAACAAAATCATCCCTCTTTTTTCGATCACATAAAAATAGATGCATGAAATCGTTGGAAATTAAGTTATCATACCTATGAGAATGATCGTAAATTAAAATAAAAAGAAACAATTGTCTCCCATAACGTAAACAATGCAATCGATAGTGTACGTGAAAACATACATTTGCACCTCATAGATAAATATATGATTATATTTGGTTAAAAATACGATTCCAACGAACTATAATTTAAACGAATAGTATGTTGTTTTATTGTTTGTAAATTTATTGTATATTACTTATAAAATGGACACTTTCAAGTCATTTAATATGTCTATTGGTACAGAAAACCTTCACCGATTTAACTGACATTAATGTTGATGATACCCTATATCATAATCTCTAGTGTACATGTAAAGTGTTCAAATCAGACAAAGTTTTCGTACCACAAAGATACATATCGTTATGAGGAGTATTTTTGTTATAGGGGTGGTTCTATAAACAAGTCCATTCGGGTTGAGAAAAAAGGTTCTTTACGACGAACCCCATCACTCATACGCATGTGTAATAATAGAAAACACCTTGTATACTTTTATTTAGATACATTGAAAATATAATGATCGGGAACAATGCTTTTTCCAACCACTACAAAACTCAAGTCAATTACCTAGGCAACTTATCAAACGTATATTTTTACCTATTTTATGCCGCTAAACTAAACGTTTTCCCAATCGGAGAAAAAATGTCATACTTTGCTAATTTACCATATTATAACGTTTCGGAGGAGCCGTCCTAGGTGTTGTACTCACAGGCCCCATACACACCTTAGTCTGTATTTCTGATGTAGCTTCTTGGTAAGAATTAACTTTGCTTACTCTCTTATTTTCAAACTGGCAACGTATTGTCATTCACTGCTCCATATTTAACGTCGAAGAGAGTTATCAACATATGTCAATGAATTGTTTAGACTAACATCAACCAACTCTATCCATTCTAAATGTTGAATAATTTATCCTTGTTGTGGGTAGGGAATAAAGCTTGGATAACATACATTACGGTGTCCAATATCATAACTACAGCTTATTGGTATATTTTATTACAGTTTATATTTGTCATGTAAAAAGTGCTGTCCATTTAATTACCCATTTTATTATACCAGTGTACTTTTAGTCATTATAAGAGGTATGATCAAAAATATTCTCGGCCCGATATACTTCTAGCCACTAATCTGACATTTACGCGCGATATGTCGATACCGATACCTAATTAAAGGCTACTGACCGAGTTACATACGGTTTAACCATAATTAAGTAACATAAAACACATCAGAAGAGAGGAGTTTTATTTAGACCAAATGGAGAAAGTTGAAATCAGAGCCGTCATTAAGTACCTCTGTAAGAAAGGAATGCCCCCATGAAGACTTGGGAAGGAGCCCCCTCTGCTTATAGCACTGTGTAAAAATGGGCTGCTGAATATAAGAGGAGCAAGGAGAGCATTGGAGATGATGAGTGGTCTGGGTGGCCAAAAGAGGACAACATCGATAAAACAGCCGAAGCTGTGCACGATCTGGTAATGTGTGACAGAAGGCGAGACCTGAGAGGCATTGCTAGGGAAGTGGATACCAGCTTTGGTTTAGTTTAGGCAATTCTGACAGATGTCTATGTCATGTCAAAAGTTTTCGCTAGTTGGGTCCCCATACAGTTGACTGACGACCAGAACGGACCAGTCTTGACATTTTAAGATATCATTTGTCTCGCTACGAGGATGAACCTGATTTTATCTATCGGATCGCAACTCAGGATGAAACATGGGTCCATCACTTCGATCCAGAAAAACAGAGCATGCAGTGGAAGTATCCTGGCTCACCGCTTTCGAAGAAATTTAAGTGGGTGCCATCAGCAGGGAAGGTGATGGCTTTAATTTTTAAGATAGTCATGGGAAAATCATGCCATAAACGCTTCGTTCTATGCAGTTTAATTGAGACATCTGTGTCAAGAAATCGTGCGCAAAATGAGGGGCAAACTGACTCAATGTGTTCTGCTTCAACACGACAATGCCCTAGCTAACACACCCAAAGTTGCGATGGCTGCTGCAACTGACTGCGGCTTTGAAATTCTTCCTTATCCACCATATTTCTGGACTTGGCCCGCTCTAACTTCTACCTGTTAACCAACCTTCGTGGTAGATGTTTTGGAAGCAATGAAGATGTCATGGAATTGGTCAATGAGTTCTGTTATGACCAAAATAGAGAGTTCTATTTTATAGGGTAAAACAAGTTGGAGCACAGGTGAGCAAAGTGCATTGATGTAGAGGGCGATTATATTGAAAAGTCAAACCATTAGTTGGGTTCTCCGACTACCGAACGTACATCGGGCCGAGAACTTTTGTATCAATCCTCGTATATTATATTTCATCGGTTTGATAAAGATATTCAGTAGATTTGATTGTTTGATGAAAGTGAATCATATCAAATAGGTCTTAACCTATATATATATTTATATACTTTAAAGATGTACTTGATGGTTTATCCGTTCTGTACCAAATAAAATCATTCAATTATTCTAGTTTATTTGTCGACCAGGTTGTTCAGACACTGAACGAATATATAAATCAAACGGCTGCAAGCTCTGTGGTATTTTCTGATCTTTGCAAACTAAATCATACTGACTATCTGTATGTATTTTCCTATATAAGTTTATTTTTATATACTATAATTCATCTTACGCAGCGAGTGCGTTAAGATTTTTTTCTATAACAGTTTAATTTGAGATTGATACATATGGAATTTTGCATGACTAGAGTTGCATCAAAAATATTTTTTTTATGACAGCCACATTTTATCCTTGCATATCGTGGCTACTTCCTTAAAAAAGGCACTTCAAAAAAAGTTGCCTCGACTAGGATTTGACCCTTAGGCCTCTCACACTCTAAACGAGCGCGATACGAGCGCGATACCCCTGCACCACGATGAAGTAATACGTAATATGTAGCCTGAATAAAAAAACAAAAAACATTGTAATTCTAAATTGAGAATTTCCATTTCGTGTTTGTAATCCTTATCAATTTTGAGGTATTTTGTTCACGATAAACCTGTTTAACACTGATAAAAAAAATTTAGCGAAAATCTTCTCGCCAAAACAGTCCGACATGGATATATTCCACTACTCTGCAGTCGGATTTATTTGTGTACTACGCCCTGGAGTATTCAGTAATCGACATAGCTAAAAATAGCTAAAATGATATTCATCCGCGACATTTGTGATTGTAACCTCATATTTCTATTGACTAATCTGAACTTTCAATGCACTATAATTCGTTAAATGCCTACATTAAAAATTATTCTGTCTTTAAATTGCTGGTTTTTGAGCAGTTTTGAGTGAGAACTACTTTGCATTGTTATGTCTGTTAGGAAATTTTGTGTTAGACCGTGGATGTTAGCTATGTATTTACTAATCTTGCGATCAGAAAATACAAAAACATATTGCTGCAAATAAATTCAAATTCAAAAAGTTATAATAAGTATTACCAAAGCGCTAAGTGGTATTTTTCATTACGATTAATATTGAGTAAATGTCTGTACATATAAATTTACTCCCGATACATTTTCCGAATTAAAATGAAAGAATTTTTTAAGTGGGTTGGTTTACAATGGTCACAATTTCAAAACATATTTCAAATATTGATGAAAACAAAAGAAGCGTATCATTTAATTATTCATACAGCAATTGTTTTGGACAAAATGCTAATCTATATTTATAGTTCTACATGATTTCATATGACATTGAAATGATAAATTAATAATATGGTTCTAGAACATGTTTTTTAATAAACAAAACACATATAATTCTTTCACGGTTTGTTATCATACTTAATTATGATGGCCGTTTGCGCCCATTTCAAAACCTCAAAAAAGATTATATTTTTATCATAAAATGTTGTGGGCAACTCACAAACCCGTGTCGAAATCATACAAAATGTCGCGGTGAACATATAAACTTTGATATTTATAATGTTATTAAAAACAGCGAGGATCATTTTGACTCCAGTGGCCGAAAGAGTTTTATCTATCATTTGTCTATAAAATGTCGAGGTACGGAAATGAATCCGCGACATTTTGCCAAATTTTGAAGTAATTCTACAAGTCAAGGTAAAAATTATGAGCTGCGAATTTTTGTTCCTCAACAATCATGGTCTCATAAATATCGCGGCGGATAATAGCAATTTTCAGTTGTGATTCTTTAACCATCATAAAATGCAAGGCTCAAAACAAAATATCGCGAAAAAATGGCCGCAATTGAGTACCTATAGTCGGCATTTTTGCGTGGCTGAGTCCATTATGTAGACAGAAAATGACATGGTTTCTTGTGTATTTTTGTTTCTCCTAATCGTCCACAAGGCAACCACAT